CTAATTGCTATCACTGAGTTCCCTGACAGGTTTCCCTTCACCTCCATGAACTGCTTGTCCTCACCTTGCAGTTCATAAAACATCATGAGCATGTTCCTGAGATTCAACCACCACACTTCAGTGATAAGACCACCATACTCAAAGTCAAGGTCATTCAGTAACTCTTTAAACTGGTGGCTGTGAAACCCTCTGCTTTTGCAAAATTTATGCATGACACTGCTGTTGACATCACGTTGTTGACATCACAATGACTGCACAGAAACTTTCTTGGTGTATGATGCAGTGGCATATAATTAAATCACTTGGGTCAAGACTGAGACGATTCAGCTTTCTTGACAAATGCAATTAACCCTTCTTGTGAGCCATGACTGGAGCTCCATCTGTAGTATGGTCACTTAACTTTTCAAATGTTAGCATAAGTTTTTTCAATTGATTAAAACGTCTCTCAAGTCCTCACCTCTTGTAGTGCCATACATGGCTTCCAGTGACAGCAGTTCCTCTTGTGTGCCAAACTGTGCAGTTAACCCATGAATGAAAAGGGCCAGTTGGGCAGAACTTGTTAATGTCCATTGTCTGGTCACAAGCCAGAGAGGAAAATTGGATAGCTCCTGCAGAATCCTGTGTTTTTTCAATATCTTGTGCTAAATCAGTAATCCAATGAGACAGTTTTGCGGTACAAACTCTCTGAAACAATTCGACTTTGGTGCTTACAACTCCGAAACAGCCCTGTGCACTTTCACAAACTCTCCCTCTACATGAGGCCTCAGCTTCTTTGTGATTAGCGCACTCCCTACATAACTCGTATAAATAGTGTCTCTGTCACAGTGAGGCCTAGTGAACGTGGCTTGTTGTGATTCCAACTCCATTGAAGAGCACTGATTTTATCCAGACACAATTTGGCCTCCCAATTCACTGAGTTTAACATGTTTTGGGCTGTAATGATGCTCCAGATTGGCTTTTTTCATTACTGCTAACACCTCGCCACAATCTAGGCACACAGATTTGCCTTTGTGGCTCAATGGTTGAGCATCGACTCATACGCCCAGAGGTCGCAGGTTCGATTCCAGTCAGGACACATGCCCAGGTTGTGGACCTGATCCCCAGTGCGGGGCATGCAGGAGGCAGCCAATCGATGTTTTCTCTCATTGATATTTCTATTGACCTCTCACTTCCTCTTTCTAGAATCAATAAATGATTAAAAAAAAAAATCAGTTATCATACTCTTCTCTCCTTATTAGTACTAACATTGGTTTTCCAATTTAAATTTTATTTTTCAATTACGAAAGTCTTGAGTGCCTATGTCCCCATTCCTTGCCAAGTGTTTTTTTATCCTCACCTGAGGACATTTTTCCATTTTTTGTTCAGATAGAGTGGGAGGGAGAGAGAGAGAGAGAGAGAGAGAGAGAGAGAGAGAGAGAGAGAGAGAGAGAAACATCGACGTGAAAGGGACACATCGAATGGTTGCCACCCGCACAACCCAACCAGGGCCGGGGACAAACTGCAACCGAGGTACGTGCCCTTAGCGGAAACCGAACCCGGGTCTCTCCGGACCGCAGGCCGACGCTCTAACCGCTGAGCCAAACAGGCCAAGGCAAGTGTTGTTTTTTTTTAAATTTTATTTTATTGATGTTAGAGAGGGGAGGGAGAGAGAGACATAAACATCAATAAGAGTTAATAACATCAATTGGCCGCCTCCTGCATGCCCCACACCCCCAACTGGGATTGGACCCACAACCTGGCCATGTGCCCTGACCAGGAATCAAACTAGCAACCTCTGTGTGCATGGGTGGATGCTCAACCACTGAACCACACAGGTCAGGCCTTGCCAAGTGTTATTTGGAAGCCAAATCCATCTGTGATCTTGATCTTATATTTTCTAGTAACTTTTAACTTTGGTCTTTTTTGTGTCTTCCTGTCAGTCTACAATTATGCTGAACCTTCCCATTTTACTCTCCTCAAAATTCTTCCTTTGTCTGTTTCCCTCCTGCTATGGCCCCATTTTTCGCATATTATTTGTGGTAAGTTTCTCCAACTTACATTTTCCATTGAATAAACTCATTAAAACCCGTTTCTAGCACTGGCTGATTTGCTTAGTGGTTAGTGTTGGCCTGTGGACCAAGGAGTCTCGGGTTTGATTCAGGCCAAGGGCACGTACCTTGGTTGTGGTTCGTCCCTGGCCCCAGTTGGGGTCGTGCGGGTGGCAGCCTGTCAATATCTCTCACATGGATGCCCCCCCCTCTAAAGATAAATGGAAAAATATCCTCGGGTGAGGATTTAAAAGTTTGTTTTAAAAAACAACCTCCCACCCTGGCCAGTTTGGCTCAGCAGTTGAGCCTCGGCCTGAGGACCAGAGTCCCGGGTTCGGTTCCCGCTAGGGGCATGTACCAAAAAAAAAAAAAAAAAAAAAATTGAAAAAACAACCTCCTTTGATATTGCCATATTCATTTTCTGTTATGGGACTACTTCCTTTTTGAAGCTTTTCTCTCATTCTTCTATACTGCAATACCATTCAACAATTACTTTTTGGGCACTTCATGACAGGCAGTATTCTAGTAGTTGGATATTTTACCTGGATTATTACAATAGCATTCTAGAAATTCTCCCATCCCAAATTCTTATAGCTGTGGCTCACCTAAAACGTAAATTGATTTGTCATATCTTTTCAGTAAATATCTAAAGACTTCTTACTGCATGAAACCCAAATCTTTAGCATGACATGTAAAGACCTCACCATGTCACCAAATGTCTGAGCACCAGACCATTAGTACTAAAGTCAGTGAAATGGACTTAGCAATCTGATGAAAAGGAACAAAGTGCTTAAAAGAAGCAGAGTGAGCTTTGGAAAAATACAGGGGCACTCAGCTCAAATACACAGAAACGTATACAGGCAAAATGCTGTTACTAGTAAATAAGAACAGCTGAATTAACTCTTCTGTCAAGCCCTCCCCAGCTCTTCTAGAGTTTGCTTTACTGACCTCATGGAATGTAGTATACCATTTTATTATATAATACCACTTTAATTTATAACTACCGTTTGTATCCCTCTCTAGTCTGAGCTGTTTGGAAGCCAAGATAAATTTATTTTTCATCAAAAAGGAATCCACAACCAAAGATGGACAGCTGTTAATATTGACATTATTTGAATTATAAGTTTAAAAATATATTTGTGTATTACCATAAGTAACATAAGTTGAAATTGATGCAACTAAAATTGAAAGCAGGTTTCACATTAATTTTTTTTCTTATTTTCTTTTTTTTTTTTTTTGGTTTAAACAACAGACATTTATTTCTCACAGTTCTGGAGGCTGGAAAGTCCTTTCTTAATTTCTTAGTAGCTCTGACTCATGGGTGTACTTCTGGATCCTTACAATCCTAAACAAGCCAAAGTTTTAGTGCACACGTTAACAATGCATAAAATAACAACAACAAAACAGAATACAACTTTTATATTATTGAACTTTATGTACAAAATCATTTGATTTCAAATAAACATTTAATGTAAAAACAAACGTTCTTTTAAACTGATTTTTTTTTACATCTACTGTACCATTCAAATGCTTTATCATCTTACATGATTTCTTCAAAATCTTTTATCAAGGGTACATATAGAAAAGCATTTTTTTTTTATAAATAGAAACAAAGGGATTTTTTCAGCTTTTATAAGATGACATAAAAAGTTTACTCAACAGAAGTAATTTCATTACTATTTGGGGGAGGGAATCACCAACTTTTTGTGCAAACAATGCTAGCCTTCTTTTAAGCATTAAGAGCATAACTGCTTAAGAAATGACATAAGCAATAATTCTAAACCTACATCTCCCCTAAAATAATCTATTATTTTTTTTTACATATGTGCACAGCTTTAGCAAATTAAAGCTGGAGAGAAATGCTCAAGATCTACTACCCATAGGTGTGATCAGAATTTACCGTAACTTATCATTTGGAGAGCTTACCAATCAAGGAGTCTGTAATGAAAAGCTGCAGTTTCCCTCTTTCCTATATTTTTTAACACAAAAATTAATAACTAAGAATTTAATACTGGATGACAAAGCACATCCACACTATCAGTTAAATAGCCTCACAGTTAAACACATTTTAAAGACCAATCAAATCAGTATTTACATTTTATAAATTTCTGAAGACACCATTAGAAAGCTTATATATCCCTTCATTAAACAAAATAGGGAACTGCATCTGATGGTGGTGGAATGAAATTAAAAAATTAAAAATACCGGTATTTACAGCAGCATTGTTCCTTTATAAATAAAGAATATGAAAATGTAATTATCTTTAAGGATAATAAAAAATTGAGGTGATGGTACTCAACCACAGTGCTTGAAGTTGGAATAAAAATCTATTGGTGCTTGTTAATGTGCCAGTAGTGAAACCACTTTCTGTTGGAGAAAATCCAACTGCAAATATGTGCATAAAACACATATAACACAGGGCAAAATTGCTCAAAACAATTCAAGTCAGCTTATCTGCATTGGATATTCTAATTGTGAAACACATTACAAAGACATCCTTGCAAAGAAAAAAAATACTATAATATTTTTGGGTTCATTTTTAGAGAACATTTCTTCCCTCTGTGGACAGTTTAATTTTCCATGTGTTTACCTAATTGGGGAGGGGGGGGGAAGACAACCCAAACAGCAAAATGTTCAAGTTTTAAAAAATGTACTGGGTGAGCAATGCACTAAAATTATCCACATAAAAACAAATGTTAAGCAACCTTATAAACCAACATAACATTTTGCTGTTGAATGTGAAAAATTAATATCTTCTCAAACAGGCATAAGATGAAGAAGTGCTATTTTAAAATTGTAAAATGAACTTATGCAATGCAAAATATCTTGTGTTGTAATTTTTCATTTTAAATTGATTAATGATTTCAAAATCAAGGATCAAGGTTTGATTGCAAGTGGTAATGCAACATAATTTCACAAAAATCTTCTATTTTTAAAAAAGGGAATTACATTCCAATTTTCCGTCCCCAAGAAAAGGTCTCACAAAGTAGAAAAGCAGCCAGTCACAAATGCAAAAAACTTTATAATTTAAATATGTGAAATAATTTCTATTATCAATTTATTTCATAAGACAACTGTTGAAGTTAAAAATACTTTCTGTGAAGTATTGCTTTTCATGCTCAAACGAGAATGTTTTAATAACATCAATAAAACTGATATACATGTAATGCTGCATAAAGTAGAACCCTGATACAAACCCTTGTTGAAATCATTTACTTCATCTTAACAGTGCCTGTTTGGAATCTATAATTAAAAACAAAAACAAAACTTCCTAGAGGCTGAACTCCCTAGAATGCAATTTCAGTGTTTGTCCATAACGCAGGGTTAGGCCTTTTCTTCTCAGAGTTTCTGCTTTTTGCTCTGTTTTGAAACCCCTGAGACACCATCTGTTTCCAAAGCTTTCTCTTTTGAGTTAATTTCACTAAATCCATTTGCTGTCCCATTTTGTTCTTCAGTGATTTCTTCATTTGCAGGGGAAGCAGATTCTCCTTTTTCTAATTTTTGCTGCATTTCACGGAGCTTGGTAACAGCTTTATCTATTGACATTATGCTAATAAGATTAAAGTCATGCATGCTGACTAGATGAAGCATGAAGTTTCGACATAAATTCTTCTTAATTATTTTCTGTCCATAGTTTTCTACAAACAGCATACAGGCGTGATTCATTTGATTGTCAGCAATAAACCTATTTAATAAAAACAACACAAAATATCAATAGCAATACAAACCATTTTTGTCAAATGGAATAGGGAAAACCATTATAGAACAGTAAGACTATTCAAATCTAGTAAGCGATGACTTAGTAAGAAGTAAAACTATAGTGAATGTGAGATACAGTAACTTGAATAAGCTTACTACCATTTCTAAAATTTAAAGAGATGTGATTTAACCAGAGCTTATTAAATAGATGTAATTTCTGTCTTTCCTAATTATATTCAGCAGTATTAAAAGTATAACGTATTTTCTCTTGCCAGCATCACTTCATTAACTCTCACTCAATATACACGCTATCTCCTTTATCTTTTCCCTTGATTTTGACATTATTTGCCTATTTCAGAAACAATGCTTCCCTACATTTTCAGTTCATGATAAACCTCTAAAAAAAATGAAGATGTCAGGACAAATAATAAATGTGGTACCATGTGGCTGTGTTGGTAGAAACTGCACTGGAGGCATGTACAATGAATAAAATTTCAGAGAACCAAATAAGAGAATGGTTGCTCAGTTTATCCACTGAAACGGTAAGTCCTACAGAGTCCATCCATTAGGCCTGCCTGAAGATTTAAAAATATCCAAAGTAGGCCCGAGACTCTGCTTCTTTATAATGCCAGTATACAATGAACCTCAAAAGGGTAAGTAATTAAAATAGAACTCAATAAAGTAATGTGACTAAAATTCTATCTTGAAATTGGCTTATCAGGACAAAAAGAAAAACATTTAACCCAAGCCTCTGCATACATACACACTTTACTCCTAGACTGGGTACCAGGCAAACTTTTCTGTAAAAAGCTACATAAATATTTAAGACTATGTAAGGCATATGTGATCTGCCATCTTCCTCTTTTTCCTTTTTTTAGTACCCACTAAACATGTAAAGACTAGTCTTAGATGAAGGCAGTATGCAAGAAAAAAAAAGAAAGGCTATAGGCCATGCACCCAGACATCTTACGTACCAATAATTCTTCACTCCCCAAGAGTACAGAAACAAAAGTGTGTTCCCTCCCACTGATTCCACTTATCTATAAAAAAACTTTGGATGTTTGTGCTATAGAATAAAGCCTTAAATGAGGATCTAATAATAATGAAGGTAGAGAAGAAAATGTGTATTGCCAGAAAAATAGTTCACACAGGGAAGGAGGCAGATCTACAGAAAAAACAATGATTTGGACCATTTTTGTATCCATGAAGGCATGAGAAATAAGTTTTGTTTTACCTAGCCTCTTATGAAACGGTAATAAATCAGAAGAGCTACTTATATTTAATTCTGAATAATCAAGAAAATTTTAAAACTATGGTAGTAACTGTGATAGTAATTTTCAGGATTTCCAGGAATACAGCACATGGCATTTAGTTTTTGTGTTCCCTGGCAATAAAAGGAACAAAAATTGGGCCACTAATAAAGGACTTAATAAAAATAAAAATCTGCTGTTAGAGCTAGTACCTTCCTTATACATTCTCTGAGCATCACCATTTTTCTCAATGCAATTATAATACTTTGGTTTAGGATAAGATTAAGGACACATTATATCTAAATTAATGGAATTTTACATAAGATTCTAACACACGTAGATTTATAGAATCTGAAGCAGCAAAAAGAATATAAAGGAAATGGAATATTTAAATTTAGAAATACCCTACCCATGCTTCATGACATGGAGATTCCATAGTTTCATCACTTCTTTCTCTCCTTCATTAACATCAGAAAATTCCTCAATTTGCTAAAAATAAAAAAATTTTAAAAAAGAAAAACACCTATTAAATGCAGAGTAAATATAATTGGTATTTCTAAGAAAAATATTGAGAATGTCAAAACCAGATTTTTTAATAACTAAAAATACCACAACTTGTTTATACAGCAAAGTGGCAATGTTTCTTAAAAACAACATATTTAAGCAGTAATTTTAAAAAGGAATTCCTAAGTTACAAACTAGTTACCTATAAATAAAATGAACACTATAAAATCACAAGAAAATCTGTATTTCCTTTACTTGGTAACTATTTAAATGATACAATTAAAAACTGGGGATTCCTGAATCACTAATTTAGAAAAATTTCCTTTACTAAGTCAAAAGTTTAATACATATTATTAAACAATAGTTTTGAAATAAATATCATTTAATCATAAAATTCTGAAATCATTGTCAATAATGTAATAGTAATAATTACTGTAATGGTTTTTTCTCTTAGCCATTCAGGATCTTTTTCATCTTCACTATCTACTTCCATTTCTTGTGGACGGAGTGGTAAACAAGTGTCACTATGGAAATACAGACGATTGTGGCCACTACTGTATGTTCGTTGCTGTTCTACTTCTCCATCTTCGGATTCAAGAAATTCAGACATGCTCGCTTTTGTTCGTTTTGGCCTAATGAAAAGAAATGTTGATGTACAATTTTTAAAAATATTTTTAGAAATGTTTTTCTTTCTTTCTTTTTTTTTAAAAGACAGAGGAAGGAAGAGGGAGAGGGAAATAGAAACATCGGTGAGAAAGAACATCGACTGGCCGCTTCCTGCATGCCCCCCAACTGGTGACTGGGCCTACAACCTGGGCATGTGCCTGACTGGGAATTGAACTGGCAACCTCTTGGTGCATGGGTCGATGCTCAACCACTGAGCCACACTGGTCAGGTTGTTGAAGTGAATATTAAGTGATAGAGTTCTTTATATTTCACATTATCCAAATAGATTACATTCTTTTCTTTCTTTTTTTTTTCCCTCACCCGAGGACATTTTTTGACATTTTGTTCAGATACAGTAGGAGGGGGAGAGAGAGAGAGAAACATCAAAGTGAAAGGGACACATCGAGTGGTTGCCACCCGCACGACCCAACCAGGGCTGGGGACAAACTGCAACCGCGATACGCGCCCCTAGCAGGAACCAAACCCGGGTCTCTCCAGACCGCAGGCCAATGCTCCAACCGCTGAGCCAAACCGGCCAGGGCTACATTCCATTCTTATGGGTTTGTACCTACATCTACTAGGAGAATTCTTTAATCCCTCAACCACTGTAGCAGTAGGAACATTAACATTTAAAACACAGGAATAAGCTGTAAGGAGGAAATGAAGAAACCCTATAGAAGCGGGAGCTGGGGAGGGCTATAAAGCAGTGTACCACATAGAGACTTAGCTAATGCTCCCCTCTGTTACTCCACCCTCATCAATAAAATCCAGAGAATAACCTTTGGTTGTATGACCTTTTTACCTACCTGCACACAAGAATGTGTGTGATAGGCGTTCTCTTTACTGGTCCATTGCGACTAAAAGCAAATCCAGGTTGGCGATGAATATCCTGAGGATTTCCTGCATAGGAGCCATCATAACACTCGTTGATAGAAACATCTATCCTAGCACCTTTTGGGTGATACTGGAACAAAAATGGCAAGGAGTTTAAAAAAAAAAAACAGAAAGAAAGAAATTTTATCCTACCCTAAATACCCATCACTTCAATTTAATTAGTTTAAAAAGTGCTTGTGGTTTTTAATGTTTTGTAAACATAAATAAGCCAGTCATACCAGCATGGTGAACAGGAAGTCAGAGAACCTAGAGTCAAAAAGATCTGTGTTAAAATCCTGACTATGCCATTTATTGGCCTGATTACTTTTTACAAATTATTTCTTATCTGAACAAGAGTAAGGAAATTACCACATAATTCAAAAAGGTGGTGTGAGGATTATGTGAATCAGTGTATGTACGCTATATGTAAACTCTGAATCATTCATTGTAATTCACACAATTAGCAATCCAATCCATCCAATGCAGAAATTTTGGTCTCTTGTACAAAGTGCAAGTTTTGAAGGTCAAATTGCCTTACAATGTATGATATATTAATAAGAAAAAAAGTTACTTACAACATAATTGAAGATAAATCTGCTATGGCAGAGTTTAAGATGCTTGAGTAAACTATAAAGTTTGCGGCAATTTAGAGTGCACCAAGGGCAATGTAGGTCATCTCTTGCTTCAGTTTGTTGTCTTGTATTGTTGTTATAAAGGAACTTTAAAATAAAACAAAAAAAGCAAAGCTCCACCTTACACATCTCAAAACATTTTTTCAACATCACCTTTAAAAATAGTTAAAACATATTAAAAGAAAAATCAGAGACATTTTTTAAGTTTAAATATCCAAAATATTTCAGATGTGACATGCAAAACAAAGGCATTTTACGATTAGTTATAAATGGGTCAGCTATGCTTACCTGATAAAATATTCTTAATTTCTGTCGGTTTTCATTTGAAGTATCTTTTTCTTTTCTCGTTTGTAGATCTGTAGTCAGCGATTCTTTAACAGCTGAAAATATATACTTTCATATTTAATGCAAATAATTGCTTCTAAGTGAGATAATACATCTTGTGAAAATAATTAAACATTAAAGGTTTCACAAAATTCTACTTGTGGTAATTAATATAAATTTTGGTCTCACCCTCAAGGGAACAATCCCCCTTAATCAATACTCCTAATCATATATTTAGGTCTTTACTAGCAGGAGTCATACTTTTCCTTTAAAAACCGCTTCTTATGCCCTAAATCATTATATATGTAACTTCAAGTAATTATATGTAGTCACTGTAATGTTTTAAGCACTTTGAGGATAGAGTGTGGTTTTGTTATTCATATTCCCAGGGCAAAGCAGTGAGCAGACATCCACTAAGTGTTGGTTTAACAGAAATTAAGTAAAAAATGACTGTATTAATATTCCCAAATCCAAAAGATAATCACCATGAATAATTTTGGTATATTTACATACTTAAAATGTTTTTACTTTCCCTGACTAAGTATTTTCTAGGTACAATTTTGTATAAAATTTTCTTTGAAACTCTTACATATTTAATTGGCTGGCCACAAAGTATTTTGAGAAGTACCCAGACCACAATTTGATAAATCTTTTCTCTTACACAAGCTATTTTTTGTATCTTTTTAATCTGATTATAATGACTTGTACACAATAAATGGACATGAGTGGTTAATGTAAAACACAGCTATCCTTCTGCCTTCTTTAAACAGACTTAGACCTGGTTACTCTCAGGTCCAGGACAGTGTTCCTATCAGGTAGATAACAAAATGACAGATCAGCCCTGGCTGATTTGGCTCAGCAGGTAAAGTGTCAGCCCGCGGACCACAGAGGCCCGGGTTCGGTTCCTGCTGAGGGCACGTGCCTCAGTTGCAGTTTGTCCCCGGCCCCGGTTGGGGTTGTGTGGGTGGCAACCACTCAATGTCTCTCTCTCATGTCGATGTTTCTCTCTCTCTCTCTCTCTTCCTCCATGTCTCCCTCCCACTCTATCACAAGATGAATGCAAAAATGTCCTTGGGTGAGGATAAAAAACAAAACGACAGATCAGTGCAACCTGGACCTTAATTCAGCAGAGCTAACTCCATTTGTAAATGTTTTCCCTCTTAAAAATACTCTGAAATACTGAATTCAGTTATACAACATTTACAAAGTTTTACAAAGTATACAACCCCAAAGCTCTATTAACCTGTAATTACAAAATCTAAAAAACTCTGAAAACCAATAGTTTCCTCATGTATTTGAAGCAAATGTATTTAGTGGAAAAACTTGTTCTAAATTGACAAAGGCTATCTATAAACCTCATCTGGAGGTGTTATACAATATATGGCATATATACTATATCATGCCTCTAACATTAAAAAAATTCCCAGACACCTCTAACAGTCCTCTCGGAATAGAACTGTTGATATGTACTTTACAGAGAACCCTAATTTACCATGGCTCATAGTTTGTCTCTCTATTTTTTTTTTTTTTTTTTATCCTCACCCGAGGACATTTTTCCATTTTTTGTTCAGAGAGAGCGGGAGAGAGAGAGAGAAACATCGACGTGAAGGGACACATCGAGTGGCTGCCACCCACACGACCAACCAGGGCCGGGGACAAACTGCAACTGAGGTACGTGCCCTTAGCGGGAACCGAACCCGGGTCTCTCTGGACCGCAGGCCGACGCTCCAACCTTGTCTCTCTATTAAGTCAAACATTTCCCAAAGAATAATTTTTGGAGCAAAAAACAAACGAATTAATCTAAAGCCTAACTCTGCAAAACATTTTTTTCTTTATTGATTTTATAGAGAGGAAGAGGGAGAGAGAGCTAGAAACATCAATGAGAGAGAACATCAATCGGCCGCCTCCTGCATGCACCCCACTGGGGATTTGGCCCACAACCTGGGCATGTGCCCTGACTGGGAATCGAACCAGCGACCTCTTGGTGCATGGATCGATTCTCAACCACTGAGCCACACTGGTCAGGCTGCAAGACATTCTTTTGACGGCAATATATTCTTTTTTTTTCCTTTTTATCCTCACCAGAGGACACTTTTTTTTTTTCATTTATCTTCAGATAAGTGGGAGGGAGAGAAGAGGAAGTGAGAGAGAGAAATATCGATGTGAGAGAGACATATCAAGTGGTTGCCACCCACACGACCCCAACCGGGGCCAGGGACAAACCGCAACCGAGGTATGTGCCCTTAGCGGGAACCGAACCCAGGATTCCCCGGTCCGCGAGCCAAAGCTCTAACCACTGAGCAAAACTGGCCAGTGTGACAGCAATGTTTTCTTACCAATAGTCTGAGTAGGTTTAACTGAACCAGGTTTGTTTTCTTGATGGAGACTCTCTGAATTTCTAGTGGCAAGAGGTTTAGCAATAGGAGCTGTAGATTTGTCATTGGTCTCTCCTGTCCAACGAAGAGTGAACTGTAACGTAGGTCCCTGAGAAAATGTTTCAAATGGAGGCAGCCTCTAAAAAAGAAAAACCATGGAAAGAGTGAAGGAAGATTCTGTATAATAAATTGAAAGAAATTGCACAAACTTAAAAAACACTATTTATTTTAAGTTAATGTAGATTTGATTTTAATCAACAAATTTTTTTCTTTTAAAACCGAAAATGTCTACAGAGATGGCCAGGGAAGTCAATTAAATGTACGACACAGCAGAGGCTATAGTACTGGAGAGCTCTAGGTTGTCTAAAAAAGGCTGCAACGCCCTGGCTGGTTTGGATCAGCGGTTAGAGCACTGCCTCTGGTCCAGAGAGACCAGGGTTCGGTTCCCACTAAGGGTACGTACCTCGGTTGCAGTTTGTCCCCGGCCCTGGTTGGGTCGTGTGGGTGGCAACCACTTGATGTGTCCCTTTCACATCAATGTTTCTCTCTCTCTCTCTCTCTCTCTCCCCCCCCCCCCATCTGAACAAAAAAATGGAAAAATGTCCTCGGGTGAGGATAAAAAAATAAAAATAAATAAAAAATAAATAAATAAAGGCAGCAACTTGCACTGGCCAGTTTGGCTCAGCAGTAGAGTGTCGGCCCACAGACCAATGAGACACAGGTTGAATTCTGACCAAGAGCACATACCTCAGTTGCAGTTCATCCCCAGTCCTGGTCGAGGTGATGCAGGAAGCAGCCAGTCAATGTGTCCCTCTCACATTGATGTTTCTCTCTCTCCCTCTCTCTCCCTCCCACTCTATCTGAAGATAAATGGAAAAATATCCTTGGGTGAGGATTTAAAAAAAAAAAAAAAAAAAAAGGCAGCAATTTGTCAGCAGTAGCTGAATTGTTGCCACGTACAAACATTAGCCCAGCACAGCCAGATTTTCAGATTTTTCAAAAGAAGCCAGAAATACAAGTTCAAATGGGAAATCTTGCCATTTTTATGTTGGTGACCAATTTAAAATGTTTTAAAAAACAACAAGAAAACTAAAGTATCCAAAGCCTGCCAGTGTGCACAGTGTTAGATGATTAATTAAATTACTTTCTAAGTTGAACATTTATAACTGTATTCCTTCACTTCTCCTGGCTTCACCGACAACTGCCCTTGCTTCTCTCCTGTAGGTTTTAGCTCCCTGAACTATCTTAGCTTTCTTCTTCCACCTCTAATCACTTTTAAGACTACTTACTCTTCTGTTGGTCTTCTTAGTTCCTAGCTAATATTTAGCCGTGTGCCCTTACGTCTCATTCACTCTCAAGGATTTACCCATTATTAGGCTGACAATCCCAAATTGGTTCTTCATTCTTTATACTTGAGTTCTAAACCCATATATCTCCAACCACCTTTTACACATATGAACTTCTATTTATTGTACTGCCATACAAGCCTAAACCCCTTTTACATTTTTATTCCAAACAATCCTTTTAAAACTATAATTTTAGACTGGAATGAGGTGAAAATGTAGTCATACAAACTGACTTGACATAGTAAGTCCATATCTAGGAATTTATCTTATAAAAACATTTGGAATGCAAAAAGATATATGTACAAATATACTCACTACAACATTTTTAAAAACAAAAACATTTAAATAACCAAATTACCCATTAAAATGGCATTGGTTTAGTAAATTATGGGACATTTAAAAGAATACCACAGAGCTTTTAAAAATAAGCAAATCTGTATGATCTGACTTAAGAGGATGCTATTTCATATTGTCTCAAACAATTTCTTGGGAAAGACCAACAGCTCATATAAATACAATCTTAATTTTTTTATGGATAAACCTAACAAATTTTAAATAAAAAATTTTAAACATAAAAAATTTTAAAAACCTGTAGAAAATTCAACTACCATAAAGAAGTATAAAGAAATAAAAATTACTTGAAATCCCTTTACCCATAAGTAACCACTATTATCATTTATTTCAGAAAAAGTGGGAGTACACATGCTACTGTATAAAAATTAAATATCAAGGAAATTTTGTCAAAGTATTATTGTTTTGTTTTGGTTTTTTTGTATATGCCCCTAGAGGTAACCGAACCCGGGACTCTGTTCCGCAGGCTGATGCTCCAACCGCTTAGCCAAATCTGCCAGGGCAGTATTACTGTTTTTAATGACTTTTTAGAATAAGGTGTTTCTAATTTTTCACCATTTAAAAATTTTTGATGACCTATTACCTACATCTTTTCAGTTACCAGTTACTATCTTGTTACAAAATGGCAGAAATATAATGGTTAATGGCTATATGTACAATTTAAATTTTTATCCATATTGTCCGTCTGCCCTCCAGTAAGGTTATACCAACTTATTCTAACATTAAAGCACTGAGCATTATCTGTCCTCATATATCCAATTATAAAGAGTCACTCTTTTAAACTTTTGTCAATCAAGTAGTCCTGTCTTTGCTTTGCATGTCTTTGAATACTATTAAGTTGGAATTTGCTGGTCATCTATATTTGTTGCTTTAAGAACTGCCTGATTGTCCTTTATCCATTTTTCTAATTAGATTGCTTACCTTTTTGTTTTTGATTTATTCAACTATGTATTTGTAATATTAGCCTGATGTATGTTACAAATATTTTCCCAGTCCATCATTTGTTTTAAATTTAGATTTTTGCATGTAGAATCCACTTTAGTCATTTTTATTTTATGCTTTTTAGCTGTTGCATCACACTTAGAAGAGCTTTCCTAATATCAAGATTATATGAATAATCACCTACTTTTTTGGTTTATGTATTGTTTAGTTTCACATTTATGTATATAAGCCTTCTGGAATTAGGTCTAAATTTATTTCCAGATGGCCAGAGACCAGTTCTGTCACAATTAATGAACAGTCTTTCTTTCCCCCACACATCTACAACCTATTCTAGTGTGAACAAATTCCAAATGTATATGAAACTCTTTCAGAACTATGCTTTAGTGATCTACTTGTCTATTCCTATGTTTACACCATACCATTTAAGTTCTTTTAACCTTATAATATGTTCTACCCCCTGGTGTATGTAAAAGTTCTCAGAAAACTTTTCCATACTATTTTTAGTATTATTACACATTGTCCTAGATTTGCCTGACACTAATTTTCAGGCTTAAAAAAAATGTTTTTAGGATTTTGCTTGCGATGGTACACTGACCTAATATACTTAGAAATAAATGACATTCTGCCTATTTAAGAAATGTATGTTTGCCTATTTATTAAGTCTCTTAGAAGAGTTATTTTAAGTGTGCTTCATTCAAGTTCAGCAGATTTCTTGATAAATTTATTACTAGTCATCATGTTACCTGCTGTTACTATGATTGGGATTTGAAATAGAAGTTAACATTTATTGAGCACTTATTTTATGCCAGGCATGGTGCTAAAGATACTTCATTATTTCATTTAATCCATCAATTCTATGCCTCGTTTTACAGATGAGAAAACCGAGACATAAAGGTTAAGTAACTTGGCAGATGCCACATAGCTAGGAGTGAAAATTTGCACTTGTTCTGGCTCCAAGGAGGATGCTTTCCATTAAATACTCTGACCAGATAATTTCATTTGTTTTCCAAAGCACAAATACAAAGGACTCTACTTCCAACATAAATTTCATTTGAGGGAGAAAAACATCAATTAAAAAATGGGAGTTCATAATTATAACGTGCTCAACCTTCTGAGTAGTTCATACCTTCCCATCAAGAATAGTCTCCCATGTTGCTCTTTTCTTGCTTATTGGACATTCTTCCATTTCCTGCATGGCTACTTCATACTCCCCATCTAAAAGCTGTAAGCGCCTGTTAGACAAACACATACACTTTAAAGTAACCTGTGTTATTATTATAAGTACACAAATTCTACATCTTTAGTTATACTAAAAAGCATTTAAATTATAAACTAGCTTATATACCCAACAAATTTTAAAAATATACCTATACTCCATTTATGACGAAAGCAATTTTAATGATTTCCACTATTTATTATTGCTACAGAATTACTTTATTAATGTAGCTACTCAGATACAACTTTTAAGGTCTCACAACTCATCAAGTTTTATACATGAAGTATAAAGTTTGTGTGCAGGCTTTATACTTGTAAAACATGGGATGGTGTTGCTATATTTGCCATAGGGGACCACTAAGAATTATGCCTCTGTTATTTTTAACTATTGTAAATATCTGAACTAGAATTCTTGACTTTTATTCTTGACCAATAATCAAATTTATGATTACAATGACAACTCTAATAACTATAAGATTCTGGGGGAACCTGGCACATATAGGTGCTCAATAAACATTTCATGGTAAATGAATAAAATACCAGTTGAATCAAAGAATCAACTAAATTATACCCATACCCCCAGTATAGTTTTAATGTGTATGTACATATATGTGTGTGTATATAATTTACCCCCCCCCCGATATCTTTAAACATTGGTACCACCGCCACTAAACACCATTCTTTAATCATGCTCAATAATTAATTTATATATAGCAAGAAGACTTTGGCTTCTCTTCATCCATCTTAAGAAAAATTCTGTTAGGTGATAATAGCTAACATTTATTGAGTGCTTACGATGTGCCAGGAACTATTTTAAAGACTTTACACAGTTCATTTAATTTTCCCAACAGCAACATGAAGATACTATTACTCCATTTTCCAGAAGAGAAAAACGAGAACAGAAAGGTTAAGTAACCTGCCTTAAGATGATACAGTAAGTAGCTAGAGCTAGCAATTAAATCTAGGTAGTCTGTCTCCAAAGACGGACTTTTAAAACAAATGACATTGAGATTTAAGAATTTTTTTTCTCTATATTGTACTACTTGAATTTATTCTCCTTCAATAGTATATCAGCAAAGCTATTTAACTTAATGTTTTAAAATACTAATTTTATTTAAATAGGTAATAACATATATATATACTTCTAAATTGAAAAGCAGCTTCCCTCGTGTCTACACAGCTATGTAACATTCTATTTTATGATAGTATATTTGATAGATTCAATCCAATTTACCCTCCTACCTGTAATGTATGAGGAGGCCCTTTTCCCCTAAAGCCTGATCAATAGTGCTTTATCAAGTTTTTTGATCTCTGCCAAACTGGTAAGTGAAAAAAATGACATCTCAGTGTACTTTTATATACAGATGTCTTATCCTTTAATTGTTTAAGAACCATATTTTTTTGGTAAACATTTTAATCATATCTCTTGCCCATTCAAGAGCTGCTTTTCGCTTGGTATGATATTTTTTATTTATTTATTTGTTTGTTAATCCTCACCCAGGGATATTTTCCTACTGATTTTGAGAGAGAGTGGGAGGGAGGGAGAAACATCAGTGTGAGAGAGACACATCGACTGGTTGCCTCCCACATGACCTCAACTAGGGCCAAGGATTGAACCTGAAACCCAGGTACGTGCCCTCGGGGTCAAACCCGAGACCCTTTGGTCTGAGGGACCACGCTCTAACAGCTAAGCCAACTGGCCAGGGCAGTATGATTTTTTTATATTAGAGGAACGAGACATCTATTTATAGCATGAGTTAAAATTTATTTTCCCAACCTGTCATTTTTACTTGGTTTATTTCTGTTTTTAGAAGAAGTTTTTTTTTTTTGCTCTATTTCATACTTTTTCTATGTAGCCTTTAAATTTTGGTTATACCCTAAGGAGATTTTAATTTCTCTGAGTTTATAAAAAGAATATTTACACATCTAACTCTCCAGATCTTAGTTTACAAATACTTTACTAAAAGGAACCAAGATTCCTTGAAGAAATGGCCAATTCCAGAGCAGAGGTAGAAAAAAGAGAATGTAAGCCTGAAATAGTTTACTATTCCAGAAAATAAGGAAAATAAAAAAATAATAAGTCAAAAGAACACAGGAGTCTGCTTAGAGGGCATTCTCCTGACCAAATTTCAGACAATTTGAGCATTAAAAGTAATAACCACATGAATAGATTAGAACAGACTGAATAAAAATGGAATTTGTTCATCCATACATTTTTTTATTCCTTACCCGAAGATATTTTTCTATTTATCATTAGATAGAGTAGGAGGGAGGGAGAGAAACAGAGACAGAGAAACATCGATGTAATAGAGCCACATCGACTGGTTGCTTGTGTCACATGACCCGACCAGGGCCAGGGACGAACCGAAACTGAGGTATTATGTGTTCTTGACCGGAAATGAACCCACGACTCATTGGTCTGTGAGCCAGTGCTCTAACCTCTGAGCCAAACTGGCCAGGGCCATACTTATTTTTTTTAAAGTTGAGGGAATGAATGAATGCTCTTCTTTACAGGAAACTACAAATAAACGTGGAAGAAATGATATAAAGTTACCAACTAGCAACTGGCATGAGAATAATTTATTCGATCAAGCATCCTCAATGGCCTGGTCAGTGTAGCTCAGTGGATGGAGTGTCATCCCATGGACTGAGAGGTCCGGGTTCGACTCACGTGCAGGGCACATGCCCAGGTTGTGGGCTAGATCCCAGGGCGGGGGGGGGGGGGGGGTATTCAGGAGGCAGCCAATCAATGTTTCTTTCTCACATCAATGTTCCTCTCTCTAAAAAATCACTAAAAACATAATTTTTAAAAATCTGATGGAAATTCTGAATTAAAAAATAAAAATCCTCAATGGATGCCAAACTGCTGGGTAAAAGGCAATTGGGGGGAAAAGGACATTTACCCAATTCCATGTATTACCACAGAGATTACATATTAATTAATTAAAGGGAAGCCCCAGCCAGGCAGCTCAGTTGGTTAGAGCATCATCTCGATGTACCAAGGTTGCAGGTTCATTTCCCAGTCAAGGCACATACAGGAGGCAATCAAGGTATGCATAAATAAGTAGAACAACAAACTGACGACTCCACATATAAAATCAATAAATAAAATTATACATTTAATTAAATGGAAAAGGTACTGTAACAATGGAGAAATACGGTGACACCACCTTATCCAAGTAAACTTATCAGTGTCTGTGATATGCAAAGAACACATCACTATTTAGTTTCTGCTCAAAATGTTTAACCCGAATCTATTCATTAAGGAACCAACCACAAAAGTCCAAATTGAGACATTCTGTAAAATTACAGCCCTGTAATTTTTTAAAAATGTCACAAAAGGCAAAACAAACAAAGCTGGAGAACTACTTCAATTTGAAGGAAACTGAACAGATATGGCAACTGAAAAGTAGCTATAGATCACAGTCCTCAACTGGTGGTAAGGGGGAAAGAGCTTTAAAGGACATTAGAGTCAATTGGGGAGACAGTATTACATTATGTTAAATTTCCTTAATACGATAGGTGCATTGTGGTTATGGAGGGAAATGTTTTTGTTCTTAGGATACACATCCTGAAGTATTTAGGAGAAATGAAGTAGTGTCACAATCAAACTTTCAAATGGTTCATCACAAAAACAAAGTATGTACTAACAAGTAAAGCAAATGTGGTAAAATGTTAACAATTGATGAATCAAGATGAAGGGGATATGGACATGTATTGTTCTTTCCATTTTTTTTGTAGGTTTGAGAATTTTCAAAATAAGCTAGGGGGATTCCTCCATGGTTTTTCAATGGTACTTTTTATCAATCAATAAAAAGCAGTTATTTCACATGTACAAAGAATATGTTAATGTATATGTAAGGTATAATATATATAAAGAATTTTAAAAGGAAAACAAAATACCTCCCCATGCTGCCTATACTAGACCATTTACCAACATCAATGAACCCCAGTGTGCCACATCCTCACTGCTTCTCCCACAGACATAACCACTATTCCCTAGTATTTTTCTGTTCTTTTCCATTTAAATCTTTGATCCACATTCAAATTTCTGACTTAAAAAGCCATTACATTTGACAGTAGTAATATTGTGACATTAAGTGATATATTCTAAAACAATATGGTACCCAAATTTTGTGATATTATTCCTTATGATTTTTACCTTCCTATTAAATAACTTGTACCTTTCTTTACATGGTGGCTAGTAAATGACAACATTAAAGCAACAATCTAGCACTTTTTAAAATAGTAAAAGGAACGTACTAATTGCTACACTCAGCTCTTTCTCCTATACCGGACAGTGAACCACATGAACTATAAGTGAGCAGCCAGGAACAAGAAATATGTCATATTACAGGTTTCACCTCTAATCCTGTCAAAAAAGAATGGTGCATTTGCCTCCTAGATCTTCTGGTACTGGCACTAACATGTTTCATTCCCAAATGAAAATGGACGACGATTATAAATCTCAATGTTCTTTGCTACCCTGTGCCAAATGTATATAGAGGCATACAATGATTACACACAATTTTCCTCCTTAATTTTAGTGAATACATATTCTCAAAATTTACACAGGGCCCACTTCATTCAGGTCTCTGCTCAAATATTACCTTCTCTCAGAAACCGTCTCTATAAAACAACCATTTGTTCTCTTTAATTTTCTTCACAGCACTCACCACTAAGTGACATTAATTGATATAATTTTTGCAGGGGTGATGTTTGTTTTCTCAAATAGAAGTTAAGCTCCATGAAGGCAGGGATTTCATTGCCTTTTCACCGCCTCTAACAGTGTCTGACAGAGTAGACACTCAAAAACAATGGTCAAATAAACAATCTTAACTGAGTCATTCAAATAGTTCCTCATCTGTGTTTATTGCTTTGTATATGATAAAAAGGAAAGTATTTTTGTTTTTTCAGTTGTAAGAATAAAGAAAAACAAATGCAAAGAAATAATATAAACACTACATTATGCTTTAGAATAAAAAGATATCCAGAACATTATGGGAGCCTCACTTGTCTATCAACATTACCTGTTTTTATCAAATACCGTCATTTGTGCAACAAATGTCTTTTCCCCATCTTCACGATTTCGTTTTCTTCTAGTTGGAAGTTCTTCATTGACATCTGAATTTGACAAACATTCCTCATTAATCAAATGTTCATACAAAAATGTCCTATTTATGAAATATGATCCCTTAACATTCTTATCCCAAATGAGATGTAAATTAAGTTGCAATATAATATCCAAACTTACACTCTTCCATTTTATATTTTTTATGATACGTATATATGTCCTACTTTTTGACATTCACTGACAGTAACCTCACATTTGAGCCAGTGTGGCTCAGCAGTAAGCATCAACCCATGCACTAAGAGGTTGCCGGTCCGATTCCCAGTCATCGCACATGCCCAGGTTGTGGGCCAAATCCCCAGTGGGGGGGATGCAGGAGGTGGCCAATCGATCTTTTCTCTCATTGACTCAAAGATTTTTTCTTCTAAGGTGCTTCTCCACTCAGCTTCACATATACCTACCTCTATTATGTCACTCATCATTTTACTGCAAATACGGTTGACCCTTGAACAACACAGGTTTGAACTAGGCAGGTCCACTTATACATTCTGTGCAGTTCAAATCTGTGTTGTTCAAGGATGAACTGTACTTTCCATCTGCAGTTAGAAATCCACAGATGCAGAGGGCCAGCTTAAGTTATAAGGATTTTCAACTGCAGGAGTGGGTGGGTGGGTGGGTTAGGTACAAGGGTCACCTGAATTTATTTGTATTTTTCTATCTCCATACTCTAGGTTGTAAGCTTTGGAGGATAAAACTGGATGTTTCAATCATCTTTGTATGCACAGCATCTATATGTTTATTGAATGATTACTTCAAAGGTGGATTTAGAACTGTTGGGATATACGTGATGACCAAGAACAACAAAATACTAACTGCACCATCTTCCCTGGCTGGTTTGGCTCAGCAGTTAGAGCGTCTGACCGCAAACCAAAAAGTCCCAGGTTCAATTCCAGTCAAGGGCACGTACTTCCATTGTGGTTCATCCCCACCCGGTTGGGGTCATGCAGGAGGCAATCAATCGGGAGGCAAACATCTCTCTCACATAGATGTTTCTCTCTCTCTTCCTCCCTCCTTCTCGCCCTCCCACTCTACCTGAAGATAAACAGAAACATATCCTCGGGTGAGGATTTAAAAAAATAAAAAAAAAAGTACTTATACAATCTATGTGTAGAATAGGAATATATTGATGTCCACAAATTCTTCTGACTGTTCCGTATGTATGAAATTTTCCACAATAAAATGTTGGGGGGTTAATTTATTGTTTACAGAGAGGCTAATTTCAATTACTATTTTTCTGCATCCAGTGTTCAATTTATCTTTTTACTGTATGAAATACGTTTCATCGTGTAATAATGAGAAATTCACAAATTACGTACCTAGTACAGCACAATAGCCAATAATCCAAGTGCCTGGGCAATCTACCATAAAATTATCTCATTAAACTATCCAAGATTTACAAATAAATGTCATGCTCTTAGCCCAGCCGGTGTGGCTCAGTGGCTGGGCATCAACCCATGCAACAAGAGGTTGCCGGTTTGATTTTGCTCAGGTTGTGGGCCAAATCCCCCCCCCCCGGGGGGGGGGGGAGCATGCAGGAGGCAGCCAATTTATGTTCTCTCTCATCAATGTTTCGATCTCTCTCCCTCTCCCTTCCTCTCTAAAATCAATAAAGGAAAAAAAAAAAATTTTTTTTTTAAAGCCATGCTATTAGAACATGGTGCAATTTATTTCTAGTTCTGCACCATTTTCTCCCTTGGAAGGGCAGTTTTAAGTAAATTATTACAATAACTCAAAAAGAAATAGTACAAACATATGAATACTTTTAAAATATACTGGTCCAATAATTTTCATTAACCACCTTATCTTCAGTACAATTATGAAAATAAACATTACCAATATTTTCATTGGTTTCTCCATTAATCATTCCATTAAATTCTCTTCTTCCCGGACGAGTCACTCTAAACAGCAATGAGTAAGACTTCACCATATGGCTGTTACTAGGTTCAAATTCATTACTGGAAACTGCAAGGGATGGGAAATTTCCAGGTTTTGTTTGATTGAGATCAGGATTCAAAGGCACCTGCTTTTTACCTGTAGGAACTTGCCTTATTGGACAACTTACATCCTGCAAAAGTAAAGATTATTAAATTATATTTATTTATACATACATATCCAATTATAATAATTACAATAAAACTTATACTCACAGCTATAGGAAACATGATATAGGCCAATATTACCAAAATACATGCTAAAATTCTATCCAGTTAGAAAAACTGTGATGAAGCAAAAATAAAATTTGGCCAGCTGGTGTGGGACTGAGAGTGGTCCCAATGAGAGGTCCCAGTTTGATTCCTGGTCAAGGCACATGCCTGGTTGAAGGACTGATCCCCAGTAGGGGGCATATAGGAGGCAGCCAATAGATGTATCTCTCTCTAAAAAATCAATAAAAACATTCAAAAAATAAAAACATACTACCAAAATTGAAAGAATTATATTCCAAATATTAACACAAATAAGGACTTCTCCAATATATCAAAAATAATGATACAGTATATCCAACATTTAGCTGGTGATAATCTAAGAGTTTTAATTTAGAAATATGAAATTGAAAACATGCGTAAAACGTTAAACTCATGTAAATGAATCTTTTCCCTTAAATTTTCTATTTTAACAAAATAAATGATGAGACTATTAGAAATGAAAAGAGAATTATAACCTCACTGTCAACATTATGAAATAGTAAATTCATATATTTAAATATGCTTAAATAGAGGCAACATTAATCATCTTATGAGTAATGTTCTGTAATTATATAACTAGAATTATGCTGAAAGAGCATAGTTGAAAAATTAGAAGATGCATAAGACCTTTATAACAAGAAAATATAGTACATATTTCATTGTAGCTTCTTTTTAAAATAAACATATGCATATGGTAACAAAAAAATTCTAATCCATAAGAGTATAAAAAATGTCTCCCCCTCCCCCTAGGTTTTACACTCCAGATATGACTAATATTAGTAAAACCATCTTTCCAAGAAAATGTTTATGCCTATTTTTTTTAAACAAAAAGAGTATACCGATATCGTAAGTATATTCATATATTTTTGCCTAAATAAAAACATATATTGAAGAATTTTCGTATCACTGAATGTCATATGCGCATGGGAACTGGTGGCGCGCAGGGAATGACATTTCTTAAAAGTTTTTAATATATACTTACTCTGCCATCTCCTGTCACTTACTCCACTCCATACCAATGTTCTAGTACAGTATTCAAGCCCTGTTATCACCTTACTACAATTTTGGAAGAACATCAGCAATAAGAACTTCACAAATACCCAAGGACTTGACTTGAGGCAACCAAAACTGTATCTGTTGGCTTTTGTGGGTTGTCCAGAAAATTTAACCATTACAACATTTGTTTCTATGACAAAATAATTTCATCTTATAATAAAAACTACAAGCAATGTATTAACAAGTTAATGGCTGATAATGCTGGCAACAGAATTTCTTTGAGAGTAGGGTTACATAAATAAACCTTTTGGGAAAACTTTCTTAGCCTTTATTTAAAATTTCAAAGGGTACACGTAGCTAAAAAATTAGCTAAAGTGGTAGGGAGGGAACTGAATTTATGTCTTAAATTCCTAGAAGATAGCATCTAGCCTTCATTGCCGGATTCTTAGGAGAAAGTTTTATGCATAAAATATAGCCAGACTAGGAAAAACACGCAAATCGGGGAGGTTGGCAAAAGAGGTTATCAGCTTTACAACTCAGGCACCAACATATTTAAAAGTTTCAAGGTTTAAACACAAAGTATATACACATGCACATATTTAATTTTAAAAAAGCATTCTATTTAATCTACCAAAATCATTTTACCTTTCTTTTTTTGTGGCAAACTTTCACAAGCAGGACTTCCAGAGTAACAGAATTTTGTTCATTTTCTGAGTTTTGTGATGGCTTATCTAAATAGAAAAATCATAATTAAAATATATTTTTTAAAATATGTAAATACTGCCCTGGCCGGTTTGGCTCAGCGGTTAGAGCATCGGCCTGTGGTCCTGAGAGACCCGGGTTCGGTTCCCGCTAAGGGCGCGTACCTCGGTTGCAGTTTGTCCCCGGCCCCGGTCGGTTGTGCGGGTGGCAGCCACTCGATGTGTCCCTTTCACATCGATGTTTCTCTCTCCCTCTCTGTTCCTCTCTCTCCCTCCCACTCTACCTGAACAAAAAATGGAAAAATGTCTTCGGGTGAGGATAAAAAAAAAAAAAATGTAAATACTGTACTCATTTTCCTAAGAAGTCTAGAAACTTAAAACAGGCCTTTACATATAAAATTTAAATGAGCTTTCACAAGAGTTATAATTACCTTCCTATATACTGTGGTTTTTATTCCCTAATTTTTTATTTATTTACTGATTTTAGAGAGAAGTAGGGACGAAGGTGGAGGGAAGGAGGGAGAAAGGTAGAGAGACAGGGACAGAGATAAACATAGACCTGTTGTTCCACCTATTTATGCATTCATAGGGTGCTTCTTGTATGTGACTTGACTGGGGATTGAACTCAAAACCTTGGCATATGGGGATGACACTGTACCCAACTGAGCAACCCAACAGGGCCTATAGTTTTCTATTCATCCAAATAATGGCTCAACTATTTTAATTAAAACTTTAAAAATTTACTGATTACTTATGCTCTAAAGATTTAACAATTATGATAATAAAAGAATGGAATAAACTGCATCTGTCTGTATTTGTATAAAAAAAAAAAGTATTTTTTGAGAAGCACTGTTAAAGATGTTTGGTGGAAAGCACAAATAAAATAGAAGGGCCCCGCCGGTGTGACTCAGTGGATTGAGCATCGTCCCATGGACCGGGAGGTCCCCATTATGTTCACAGTCAGGGCACATGCCCAGTTTGTGGGCTCAATCCCTAGTAGGGAACATGCAAGAAGAGGTAGTCAATCGATGTTTCTCTTACTTCCTCTCGCTCTTAAAAAAAAAAAAAAAAAAAAAAAATCAATGCATCTGATTCAGTCTCTTTGAAAGTTATATCCACGACAAAAATACTTTAATAGAGCAAAAATAACTAAATGTCTAAATGCATTAACAAAAATACTCTCTGAATATTCCTATCCACAAATACAGCACCCTAATAATCTTTTTGTATTCATTACAAGCAGTTTCAAATAGTAACTGCTAAAAAAAAATCAGATTTTAGAGATCTTAATGTTGGTTTTCTGTAACTATAACCTATAAGTATACCTTGCATAAACAAAAGAAGCAATATATCTGCTTCTTCCCAAATTCCACTAATTCGACTATAATGAGAAATTATTTTCTGGAAACAGAAATAGCCAACAGAGTTTACTTTCTCATTTATTTCAGTAATATCAAGAAAAAATAAAAACTTCAAGTGAATGCAAGCAATTTTTGAACTTTTACACATTTGGTTATGCAGACAGGAGAAAAGTTTAATCAAACTACTTAACAACTAACTTCAACTAATTGAAGAAAAATGAATTCACCTAAGTTAATATTAACTAATCAAATAATATTAATCAGTAAATATATCTCAATTACTATCCAATACTAATTTCAGTGATGAAGAATTTTTATATATGTTTTATGTAAGTCCCTGGAAACAAAGGGCTCACAAACCTACAAAATTCAAATGATAAGTCCACTTACTTTAAAAGTACCACACAAGCCTTACTAGTGTGGCTCAGTGGATTGAGCATGGTCCCATGGACTGAGACATCCCAATTTGATTCCTGGTCAGGGCACTTGCCTGGGTTATGTGTCCATTTCCCACTGTGGGGGACACAGGAGGAAGCCAATCCATGTTTCTATCTCTCTCCCCCTTCCTCTCTCTAAAATAGGTCAAGAGCCCAGCCGGTGCTGCTCAGTGGTTGAGCCTCGACCTATGAACCAAGAGGTCACTGGTTCAACTCCCGGTCCGGGCACATGCCTGGGGTGCAGGCTCGATCCCCACTGGGGGTGTGCAGAAGGAAACCAATCGATGTTTCTCTCTCTCTTTTCTTCTCCCTTTCTCTCTCTCTAAAAATCAATGAAAACACATTTTTTAAAAAAATTTAAAGTCAATAAAGAATTTATTAAAATATATATAATATAATAACATTAAATCAAATTCTTTTTTTGCCCTGGTCGGTTTGGCTCACTGGTTAGTGCGTCGGCCTGCGGTCCAGAGAGACCCAGGTCCGGATCCCGTTAAGGGCGCGTACCTTGGTTGCAGTTTGTCCCTGGCCCTGGTGGGTTGTGTGGGTGGCAGGTGAGGATAAAAAAAAAATTCAAATTCTTTTTTTTGGTGGTATGTGCCCCTAGAGGGAACTGAAACCAGGACTCTGGTCCGTAGGCTGACGCTCAACTGCTGAGCCAAACTGGCCAGGGCTTAAAACAAATTCTTTATACAGAAAAGATAATACTCAAGAGACTCTTAACCTATACCAGGTTCTAAAGTAATTTAAAAATTTCATCATTAATGTTTATAATTTAAAGTTCAAAAACACTGGCCCTGGCCGGTTTTGCTCAGTGGTTAGAGCGTCGGCCCACAGACCAGAGACCTGGGTTCAATTCCTGCTACCTCAGTTGCAGTCTGTCCCTGGCCCCGGTTGGGGTCATATGGGTGGCAACCATCTGATGTCTCTCTCTCTCTCTCTCCACCCCCCCCCCCCGGCTCTCTCTGAAGATAAATCCAAAAAATGTCCTCGGGTGAGGATAAAAACAAAACAAAACAAAAAACACTGGAATTTAAAATAATGGCAAAATCCAAGAACTTCAATTTTATGAAAAAAATTTTCCATTATTTTTTACTTATGATCTTTGGAAAGATAATGGCTGTGAGTTGGGTAAGATATTACACAATTTTATTTTATTTTTTTGCTCTTTTTAAAAAATCCTTACCTGAGGATACCTTCCCCCCCCCAAATATCTTCAGACAGAGTGGAGGGGGAGATAGAGAGGGATGAAGGGAGGGAGAGAGAGGGTGAGGGAGAGGGAAAGGGGCGGGGGGAGAGAGAGAGAGAGAGAAAGAAACATCGACGTGAGAGAGGCATATCAACTGGCTGCCTCCTGCCCAATCCTGACTGGGGCCAGGGACAAACCAGAACTGTGGTACGTGTCCTTGACTGGAACTGAACCTGTAACTCTTTGATCCGTGGACCGATGCTCTAACCACAGAGCCAAACCAGCCAGGGCCAATTTTGTTCATTTTAATAGCCACAGTTGTAGCCCTAAAAAGTGTGGTTTAGAGATAAAAGTGAAATTTCCTCTATTTAGAAATGAGGCAGATAAAACTAACTTTTATCTTCAAGAATGATCAGACATGGCCATATAGACTTTCCCAGACAAGAAAAAGTTAAAGGAGTTCACCACCACCAAACCGTTATTATATGAAATGATGAAGGGTCTTTTTGAAGAAAAAGATAAAATATATGAACAAACAAAATGGCAATGAATACATATCTATCAACAATGGAATCTACAAACAAAATGAACAGGTAGAACAGAAACATTCTCATAGATAGAGAACATTTTGTTGGTTGCCAGATGGGAGGGGGCTTGGGGGAATGGGTGAAAAAGGTGAAGGGATTAAGAAGTACAAATTCAATGCTAGACTGACAAACCTCAAAGGGAAAGAGGTTGGGGGATGGGAAGAAATAAACCAAAGAACTTATATAATTTAAAAAAAAAAAAAGAATGATCAGACAGCCATGCCTGTGTGGCTCAGTGGTTGAGCGTCAAACCATGCACCAAGAGGTTGCTGGTTTGATTCCCGGTCAAGGCACATGCCCAGGTGGTGGGCCTGATCCCCACTGTGGGGCATGGAGGCAGCCAATCAATGTTTCCTCTCATCAATGTTTCTCTCTCTCTCTCCCTCTCCTTTCCTCTCTCAAATCAATAAAGAAAAAAAATGATCAGACAGCACTGATTAACAATTTAAAAAATCTACTTAAAATTTAAATTGATACCAGGAAAGCAATAAGGAGACCAAACTATGAACATGTACATCCCTTAGATGACTTATTTTTGAGTTATCTTGATGTTTTATTTAAAAATGCAGACTTTTAAGCTCCACCAAAACCCTACTAGATTTGAGTCTTATAGGGTTCAGGTACATCGACTTTAAAGTATCAAAATGTTTTTAGAAGCACTAAAATTTGAGAACTACTACTTTTAAAGATTTGCAAAGTTACATCTTCACATTCCATTATCCACCACAAAAAAGTAATAATGGAAAGTATTGGAGAGGTCAACTAACAAGTTTAATTATCAGACTCAACATCTTTTCTATTAAATATAATTTTATAAATTCGTATACAGAAAATATATTTTTCATTCACAAAGGTGTTTTGTTGTTAGAAAACCAATATGTTTACTTTAAAGTACATACCATTTTTGTGGAAGAAACCAGTAAAGGTAAGCTGCAGATGAGCTGACAAGCTAAACAAAACAAACAAAACATTTTATCACTTTAATGCTCTATTTGATATTCTTATTCTTAACTCTATTCAAGCCCATGACTCCACGTTTTCCCTGTTGAGTATGACATATAAAATAGTGTCTACATATTAAAAAGAAACAAAACAGACTGGCCGGAGTGGTTGAGCGTCGACCCATGCACCAAAAGGTTGCTGGTTTGATTCCTGGTCATGGCACATGCCCAGGTTGTGGGCCAAATTCCCACTGGGGGGCATGCAGGAGGCAGTCAATCAATATTCTCTTTCAATGATGTTTCTCTCTCTCCTCCTCTCCCTTCCTTTCTCTCTAAAGTCAATAAAGAAAAAAACAAACAATAACACACGAAAATGAAACCACCAAAGGAGTAAGGCAGATAAAAACAGACCACCAAATGAGAGACAAGATAATTTACTGTGCTTTAGTATAAAATAGGAACAAGTTTGCCTTCACACTCCTCAAAAATTTTTAGATAAGGGCTGCTGAATCCATGCAAGTGTATGAATATTTTAAAGATATGGGAATTCAACCTGCCAACAAATGATGCAGAACCATCACTTTCTACTTCAAATTAGGAGTGAAATACACAATTACACACCTACTATGGATATGTAATTTACTATTTCAACATGTCACTTTCATTTTTAGTTTTAGAAGCAATAGAAAAGGAAAAAGCATAAATTATAATCATCCTATTTGTTTTGAAAATATCTACTAACAATGGAAAATTAAGATGGGACAGAAAAACAGAAACATCAATAGCCTTTTGTAGTACCTTTAAACCGCAAAATAAAGCAATCTATTTGTTGATCAGGAGCCATTCATAACTTCTCAGAACAGTTTCTGTAGTGTGATAGTCATCAGATAAGAGGCTATAAAAAATAGATGCTGGGAAAAGGGAAGCAGTACTGAACCCTTACTCAAGAAATTTAGTAGCGTAATGAATGAAAGTAAATAGTAGTTAAAGGGCAATAAGAATCCATAGAGGGTATATTTTTGTTTGTTAAAAAATAGGGACAGCCCTGGCCAGTTTGGCTCAGCGGTTAGAGTGGTGGCCTGCAGCCCAGAGAGACACGGGTTCGGTCCCCGCCCCACTAAGGGCATGTACCTCGGTTGCGGTTTGTCCCCGGCCCTGGTTGGGTCCTGCGGGTGGCAACCACTCAATGTGTCCCTTTCGTGTTGATGTTTCCCTCTCTCTCCTTCCCACTCTATCTGAACAAAATATGAAAAAATGTCCTCGAGTGAGGATTAAAAATAATAGCCCTGGCCGGTTTGGCTCAGTGGTTTGAGCGTCGACCTGCGGGCCAGAGAGACCCGGGTTCGGTTCCCACTAAGGGCATGTACTTTGGTTGCAGTTTGTCCCCGGCCCTGGTTGGGTTGTGCGGGCGGCAGTCACGCCATGTGTCCCTTTCATGTCCTCTCTCATTTCCTCTCTCTCGCTCCCGCTCTATCTGAATTAAAAAATGGAAAAAATGTCCTCAGGTAAGGATTAAAAATAAATAAATAAATAAAAATAAAAATAATAATAAAGTCCTGGCCAGTTTGGCTCAGCAGTTGAGCGTTGGCCCACGGACCAGAGAGTACCGGGTTCGGTTCCTGCTAGGGGCAGGTACCACAAAAAAAATAAATAAATAAAATAATAAAAATAAAAATAAAGAATAGTGCAGACTTTATTTAAAAAAATGGTGACACTCTAAGCATCCTTATAAGCAGAAGGAAACAGCACTGGCCGGTTTTGCTCAGCGGTTAGAGCATTGGCCTGAGGTCCGGAGAGACCGGGGTTCAGTTCCCACTAAGGGCACGTACCTCAGTTGCAGTTTGTCCCTGGCCCTGGTTGGGTCATGTGGGTAGCAACCACTCGATGTGTCCCTTTCACATCGATATTTCTCTCTCTCTCTCTCTTTCCCTCCCACTCTATCTGAACAAAGTATCAAAAAATGTCCTCAGGTGAGGATAAAAAACAAACAAACAAAATAAGCAGAGGCGAATAGTTACATAAAGACAATGAGGCAAGCCCTGGCCCGTGTCACTCAGCGGTTAGAACGTCAGCCTGCGCTCCAGAGAGACCTGGGTTCGGTTCCTGCTAAGGGCACGTACCTTGGTTGCAGTTTGTCCCCGGCCCTGTTTGGGTCGTGAGGGTGACAACCACTTGATGTGTCCCTTTCACATCGATGTTTCTCTCTCTCCCCCCCCCCAACTCTATCTTAACAAAATATCCAAAAAAAAGGACGAGGCAAGATAGTATTAGGGTGCAAGTAATGATTGGAAATGAGTATATATTATAAAGAGGTAAGCTTTTTAACTTTGTCAGGGACTCTTCTTTTTCTTAAAGAAGTTAAGAGGTGAGTGAGATATTTCAACAAAAGATGTGAGGATGAGTGGGGGGCATGTAGGAGGTGGCCAATCGATGTTCTCTCTCATCAACGTTTCTATCTCTCTCTCCCTCTTCCTTCCTCTCTCTGAAATCAATAAAAAAAAAAAAAAAAGATGTGAGGATGCCTCTATGTTCTCAGTGAGATAAGCCACGAAACGATACTAAAAGAACTACAAGGACAGAGGTCTTGAAAGGCATTTCTAGAATAGTTATTAACAAAAGTATGCCAGGATACCATCAGGGGACAAAATGACTATGGAAGAGTAGGAGGATCATCCAAGCAGAGTTAGAGAACATAAATATGAGAAAAAAAAACTAAGAATAACAACTATAACTTAAGTACAACAAAATAAAAATGGTATACAGTGGAATTCATTTGTTTTGTTTTATTTTATCCTCACCCGAGGACATTTTTTCATTTTTTGTTCAGATAGAGTGGGAGGGAGAGATAGAGAAAGAGAGAAACGTCGACGTGAAAGGGACACATTGAGTGGTTGCCACTGGCATGACCCAACCAGGGCCGGGGACAAACTGCAACCAAGGTATGCACCCTTAGCGGGAACCGAACCTGGGTCTCTCTGGACCGCAGGCCGACGCTCTAACCGCTGAGCCAAACTGGCCAGGGCTACAATGGAATTCTTAAAGAAGATAATTTTTGTATATTACTTTCTGAAATAAGATACATTTTTAAAAAATTTTTGTAGTTATCATTAACCCTCATCTGAGGATATTTTTCCATTTATTTTTTTTCCCAGAGTAGAAGGGAGAGAGGGAGAGAGACAGAAACATCAATGTGAGAGAGACACATCAACTAGCTGCTTCCTGCGTGACCCCCAACCTGGGCTGGGGATCTAATCTGCAACCCAGGTACGTACCCTTGACCAGGAATTGAACCCTCAACTCTTCAGTCCTGAGGCCTACACTCTAACCACTGAGTGAAACCAGCCAGGCTCAGTTGGTTGGAGCACTGTCCCATGCACCAAAGAGTTGCAGGTTCAACTCTTGGTCAGGGCACATACCTATGTTGCAGGTTCCATCCCCAGTTGGGGTGAGTACAGGAGGCAACCAATCAGTTTCTCTCTCATCGATGTATCTCCCTCTCTCTGCCCCTTCCCCTCTCTCTAAAATTAATGAACATGTCCTCAGGTGAGGATTTAAATAAGTAAATAAATAAAGTACACTGGGAGTGGGGATGGTTGGCTATGAGAAGAATGAGGGAATTTTAAGGGTTATCTCAGCTGTAGTGGTTGCTACTTGGCTGCATACATGTCAAAACTCTTTAACTATATACCAAAAACAGTGAATTTGACTGCATATAATTAATACCTCCAAAAAAAAAAGGTACATTAAGGGGACTGACTGTAAAGAAGCCCAAAGAAATTTTTCAACGTTATGAAAATGTTTCCTCTTTTGACTGTGTTCACAGTTATACAACACTGTATACATTTATCAAAACTGACACTATATACCTACGGCGAATATATTTTATTATATGTTAATTATACCCAAAGTTGACTTTTTAAAGTATATCTGCCATTTACAAAATCTACATGCCATTTTACTAAAAGATTTCTAGCATTTGCCTATAAAAATCGTTCCAAAAATGTCACCTTACAAAGCAGAATTAGCGAAATTCCAAAACATCACTGAAATGGACAGAGGAATATTCTATAATTTCCACATTTTAGAAAATAATACATTAGTCACAACCAGCTTATCCTGTTCTTAGTTGCTTCAGTTAAACCTACATACTATGGCAAGGTTAACTTTCTTAAAAGCACCATTTTGGTCTGGCTAGTGTGGCTCAGTGGTTGAGAGTCTACCCCTGCACCAAGAGGTTGCAGGTTCGATTCCCGGTCAGGGCACATGCAGGAGGTGGCCAGTCGGTGTTCTTTCTCATCGATGTTTCTCTCTCTTTCTCCCTCTCACTTCCTATCTCTCTAAAATCAATAAAGAAAAAAATAAAATAAAATGCATATGTGTACACCTATACACATGACAAATAAGCAAAATACATTAAAAAAAAACACCTTTTTTTTTTTTTATCCTCACCCGAGGATATTTTTCCATTTTTTGTACAGATAGAGAGGGAGGGAGAGAGAGAAACATCGAAGTGAAGGGACACATCGAGTGGCTGCCACCCGCACGACCAACCAGGGCCGGGGACAAACTGCAACCGAAGTACATGCCCTTAGCGGGAACCGAACCCAGGTCTCTCCAGACCACAGGCCGACGCTCTAACCGCTGAGCCAAACCGGCCAGGGCAAAATAATACCATTTTGTATGCATCATTCCTTCCTCCAAATTTTCTAAATAGTCCCCAGCTGTCAAGTCTTTTCTCTTATTGTTGTGTATAATATGGCTCTCACTTCTTTTTATCTCCATTAAAGCCTTATAAAGGAAAATAGATTACGTTGATAAAACAAAGTAGAAAAATAGATTAGAGACAGAAAATCCAAGTTAGAATTCTGTCTCGTTATTATCTGTGACTGATATCTATAAAATGAGAAAATGACCTCTCAGGACTGAGTCTTGCATAAAACCAATCCCCATCCATCCCACAGCTTAATAATCAGAGCTTAATTTCCTTTATAAACACTTCTATTTGCCA